TCCTATATATAAAAATATATATTTTTAAAAATCCACTGTTTAAAAAAAAAAAATTAACACCTGAGCGGGTGGGCAAATCTAAGTAGAAAAACATAAAATAACATTGCTGTTGACCCTGTGGGATGGGATAGAGCTACTTCATAGAGACTTCCAAGGCTATAAGTCTTTGCAGAAGCAAACTACCACATCTTTCTCCCTGAGTGGCTGGTAGGTTTGAACCACTGAAGTTTTGTTTGGCAACTGAGCCACTGTACCCTAAAATCTAAGTAAACATTGATGATGATACGATAGCCTGATATGATGATGATAATGGGAGCACCTGATGTGGGGAAGCTAAAACAACAGGAAAACACAACATGGAAGATGGGAGAAATGTGAAAGGAATTTGTATACTCTTCAGGATATGGGAACCAAAAATTTTTATTTTTAGATATGTTAATCAGGTACAGTATAAAATTAAGGGTAGAATAGAGATAGAATGTAACTTCTAAACAGTAGAAAACAAAAAAGAATTTTAAAAAACAGAACAGTCTGTAATAGAAAACAAAAAGATGCTTAAAACAAAGTGGGATCAATAGATAACAAAAATGTGGTGGAAATACATCTAAACACATTCACAATAAATGTAAATGGATTAAATTCTCCAGTTAAAGATCAATATTCTAGGCTTGGTTTTTCTTAATTCAGCTATATGTAAAACGAATCTATTACATTTATATATATAATATTAAGAAATCTCATAATGTTCAGAGAAAACAAGTTAAAAAAATAGTCAACTGTATAATTTAAAATACATTTAATACATTTTTGTGAATATTGACATGTAAAAGTATAAAAACATGAAAGTATTACCCTATTTCTGAAGCTATAATGTATTTCTGAATTATAATATAGTAGTTACTTCAGGGGAGTTTGTTGGGGGATTTGATGATGAGAGGGGTTAGCAGTGAATTTCATCTGTACCTGTAAAGTCTTGTGTCCTTAAAAATGGTTTTAAAGCAAATATGTAGCAAAATGTTAACATGAGTTAAACCTGGATATGGCTTCATGAATGTCTGTTATACTGTGTATTTTGGGGTATCTTTAAAATGTTCCATGATGAAAAACTAAAAATCAAATCAAGAACAAAAAGGGGAGGGGTCATTAAATCTATTCAGTGCCATTACATCTGTAGCCCACCTTGTAAGTCTGCTTGTCAGAAAAAGCGAGTAACCTGAGGGCCCATGACACTCTCCCCATCAAAATTTTAGTAGTGCTTTAGTTTTCTGGTGCTACTATAACAGAAATAGCACAAGTGAATGGCTTTAACAAATAAATTTATTTTCTCACAGTTCAGGAAGGCAGAAGTCTGAATTCAGAGCACTGCTCTAAAGGAGGGCTTTCTCTTTCTGTCAGTTCTCAGGGAAGTTCCTTGTACCTTCAGCTTGTTTCCTGGTGCCTTGGAGATCTCCATGTATCTTGGCATCTGTCTTACCCCATCTCTGATTGTAGCTTACGTTTAATCTCTTCCATCTCAAAAGAGATATGTTGTTGTTGTTGTTGTTGTTATATGCCATCGAGTCGGCCCCGACTCATAGCGACCCCTCCTTGGGTTTCTGAGGCAGTTATCACTACGGAAGTAGGATTGCCCAAATATACCCTATATTAATCCTGCCCCATTAACATAACAAAGACAACCCATTCCCAAATATAACCTTAGACTAGGATTTATATCACATACTTTTGGGGGGCTCAGATCAATCCACAAATGTAAGGTATTCCTCTGATTGAAAAAATGAATTGTTTCATCTAAAATACACTTTGTTTTAGTACAGGCATAGCTCAGATATTGCAAGTTCAGATCTAGACCACTGGAATAAATACTGCAGTAAAGAAAGTCCATGAATCTTTTGGTTTCCCTGTGCATATAAAAGTTATGTTTACACTATACTGTAGCCTATTAAATGTTCAATAGCATTATGAAAAGGTTGGAAATACTGTGGGAATTACCAAAGTGATACAAACACTTGAAGTGAGCACATGCTATTGGAAAAATGGTGCCAATAGACTTCCTCACTTGCTCAGTGCAGGGTTGCCCCAGACCTTCAGTTTGTGTTAAAAAAAACAAAACCAAAAACACACTGTCTGTAAAGCACAATAAAACAAGGTGTGCCTGTATAGCTATTTGGGGATCCTTTGAATATATGCAAGATGACTTCTACCTTTTTTTTTTTTTTTAACTTGGTAAATGTTAATATTTAGTGGATTCCTGAAATCCAAGTAGTCTTCCTTGTCTTCTACTTTCCTTAGTAGATGGAATTAAGGTATGTATTCTCTTAAAATACAACCTTAGGCATCCTATCACCTGTATATTTAGTTTTTTTTCTTTAGTGAATTAGGACTGTCTCTCAAGAAAAGCTGGTGACTCCCTTTTTAGCCACTAACCAAGCAATAATACCATAAATTTCCACTAAAATATAGTAAGGTTTAGAATTTTGATCCTCTATTTTTTTTATAATAGCTTTATTGAGATATAATTCACAAAGCATACCATTCACTCATTTAAAGTATAAATTTACTGATGTTTAGTATATTCATAGAGTTGTGCAGCCATCACCATAAATAAATCTTTGGATATTGTCATCAGTCCCAAGAGAAACCCCATACCCATTAGCAGTCACTCTCCATTTTCCTCCAATTAAACTGAAGAATATGATTGACTTATTTTCTTATTTTTCTTTTGCTTTCCTTTCTAGTCTTATGATAATCATTCTACTACTAATATTTCAGCTAACGATGCTGGCTACTTCAATAATGAGATGGTGCCAATTGAGGTGAAGACAAAGAAGGGGAAACAGACAATGCAAGTAGATGAGCATGCTCGACCCCAGGTGACCCTGGAGCAGCTCAGTAAACTTCCTCCCGTGTTCAAGAAGGAAGGAACTGTCACCGCAGGGAATGCATCAGTAGGTGTTACCAGAGATTACCTTGAACTCTTACTGCTGTGTTCAGTGCAAAATCATCTTGAAGTATACATGTTTTTCATGCTGTTGTTGTTGTTGTTGTTATGTACCGTCGCGTTGGGCCCGATTCATAGCGACCCTGTGTGCAACAGAACGAAACACTGCCTGGTCCTGTGATTGCCTCAAAATCCTTTCCACACCTGAGCCCATTGCTGCCGCCACTGTGTCAGTCCATCTCATTGATGGCCTTCCCCTTCTTCGTTGTCCTTCCACTTTACCAAGCACTACATCCTTCTCCAAGGAATGGTCCCTTCTGACAGCATGACCAAAGTAGGTCAGACAAAGTCTGGCCATTCTTGCTTCCAAGGAGCATTCCAGCTGCACTTCTTCCAGGACAGATCTGTTAGTTCTTTTGGCAGTCCGTGGTACTTTCAGCATTCTTCCCCAGCACCACAACTCAAAAGCATCAACTCTTTGGTCTTCCCTGTTCATTGTCCAGCTCTCACATGCATATGAAACGATTGAAAACACCATGGCTTGGGTGAGGCACACCTTAGTCTTCAAAGAGACATCTTCACTCTTCAGCACTTGAAAGAGGTCTTTTGCAGCTTTTCATGCTAGTGTTTGGTTATTTAGCCCTTCGAGCCCACCAGCCACTCCTCGGAAGGAAGGTTGGGCAATCTACTTTCATAGTGATTTGCCTCGGAAACCCAAGTAGGGGTTGCTGTGAGTTGGGTTCAACGTGACAGCAGTGAGTTTTGGGTTCAGCTCGACAGCAGTGAGTTTGGTGTGGTTTGGTAATACAAATGGTTAACACATTTGGCCCCTAACCAGAAGGTTGTAGGTTCGAGTTCACTCAGGCATCTCAGAAGAAAGGTCTGGCAATCAGCTTCTGAGAGAATCAGCCTCTGAAAACTCAGCAGAGCCAAGTTGTATTCTGACACTCCTGGGGTTGCCATGATTCGACTTGTTTTGTTTTTCAGTAGTGTCCATACTCATTAATTTGGATTTTTGTAGTCCAAAACAAAATAAAATTTTAGCTAGAGGCCCTTTTCAGATACTTTTCTTAATTCCAGTCTTTTCAGAATATTGCAAGGAAGTCTATTTGATTTTTAATTTGGTTGGTTATCATACTGAGGTTTTTTGTTGTTGTTGTTTGGGGTTTTCTGTTTGTTCGTTTGTTTCTGCTCATGTAAAAAAACAAAACAAAAAAAACTGACCAGATGTCTTCTTACATCTACTCACATCTGGATATAAGCTTTTCCTTTCCTGCTTTCCCTCAGTGAGGTTGGATTTTATGCCTGAAACAGTCCACTTGTTCCACCAAAGTCCCGCTAGTACTGCTTATTGTATCCCAAATTATGCCACCGCTTCCTGTGTACCACCCATATTCCCAGGTCTACTCTGTTAGTTCGGACCTTGAAACTGGCTGGATTCTTTTATCCTCTAGTTAATCTGTTGTTTTTGTTTTCAAGGGGGTATCTGATGGTGCTGGAGCAGTTATCATAGCTAGTGAAGATGCTGTTAAAAAACATAACTTCACACCACTGGCAAGAGTCGTGGGCTATTTTGTGTCCGGATGTGACCCCTCTATCATGGGTATTGGTAAGTTTATAGTGAAACAAACTGGTTCTGTTTCTGGAGATATATTTTCTCTAGCATTCAAATGCCTGAAAACATCGCTACTTCAAGATTTGTGGATAAAAGGAGACTGGTTATCATATATTTAAACAACTAATTTTTGTGAAGTGTTTAAAGTACACAGAACTATGTTAGGCATACTAGAAAAACCAAGACAGTATAAACTCCTTGTGGCTGGTAAAATGGCTTTTCGTCCATTTGAAGTATTTAAAATTGACTCCGAAAATAACAGGGAAGAATTAATTGCATGGTACTGACAAAATGAAAGAAAGTGAGATGGGCAAAACCGTGGGTTGAATAGCAAAGGGTGTGTGGAGAAGATGGCATTGCCCCTACCTGCTGGTGCTTTCATCATGGGCATCAATCAGTGCCTCCTTTAATCTGTCACAACTCTAGGAAGTGAGGCTTCTTTGTGAATGAGGAAATTGAGACTCAGGGGGATTGTTGTATAAGGTTCAAAGCTAGTAAGTAAGTTATGGAGCCAGCATGTGAATTCAGGTCTCTAATTCAAGACTGAAGTGCTCTTCTTGGGAGTGAGTTAAGCACATTGTCTCAGAGAATCGAAACTCAGAAACTCATCTGGCTCAGCTGAGGTGTAACAACAAAATTAAGAATTACGAACCATGTGTCTAGATTGGCAAAATACTAGCTAGAGAAATTTTGAAATTCCCTACAAACACGTATATTCTTGGTTGGAGGGAAAAAAATCAGAAGTAGAATGCTCGATGTACTCCTAGGGCCAGAGGTGATGCTGAATTTTAATAGTTCCTGTCACTGTTCTCTCAGATACAGTGAACCAGTCAGGAGCCTCACTTAGAAAAATAAGATAGGTGCTCAACAGCCTTGATCTATCCCACCTCTACGTGTACACTCCAAGGCCAGGCCTGCCCTAGGATGCAGATTAAGGTGCTTGGTGGGACCAAAGATGTTTCTGTGAGCTTAGACCTTTTTTAAATAAATAAATTGGTTTTTGAGGGAGGGTCCCATGATCCAAGGGGGTGACCTGCTGACGTGCCTTCTCAGAGACCCTTCAATGTCAACCTCCAGTAACCACTTAAGTGGATATGGGATTGAGTTAATGCCGACCATATTTGCAGTCATGACCTTCAGAGAAGAACTTACTTTTGCACAGAGTTCTTAAGAAGGAAGGCTGGCCTGCCCAGACCTTGCCACCTTTTAGTGTTGCTAGGTGCCCTTGAGTTGATTTCAAGTTGCAGCAACCCGTGTGACAGAGAACTGCCCCTTAGGTTTTCTAGGCTGTAATCTTTACTGCACCAGATCATCAAGTCTTTCTTTTGCTAAGCTGCTGAGTGGGTTCAAACAGCCAACCTTTTGGTTAGCAGCCAAGTGCTTAATGGTTGCACCACCAGGGCTCCTTCCATCTTCCACTATGTGTCCCAAGGTTTGTCGACAAAAACTGCAAGATATTTAGGCATCTGTTAAAAATGTGTTTTCTTTCTATGCTGTTGTCTTTTAGAAGAGCTCTGGTGGTGTAGTGGTTAAGGCATCTGGCTGCTAACCAGAAAGTCGATGGTTCGAACCCACCAGCCATTCCACAGAAGAAAGATTAGGCAGTCTGTTTCTGTAAAAATCGGCAGCCTTAGAAACCCAGTGGGGGTCACCGTGAGTTGGAATTGACTCGATGGCAGTGAGTTTTGGTTTCTTCATCTTTTAAAAGCTTATTAGCATTCAGCTACTCACTATCAGCCAAACATAGCTTTTGTTTTAGAAATGGGAGATAGCTTAAAAAATTAAATAGTTGTTGATTGGTGTGGCATCATTTCTATATCAAGAGCAGCAGTTCCCAACCCCACACGATCAGTGGTCCAGCTGTGTCCCCACCCCTGAGATTTTGTCCCAGTAGGTGTGGGGTGGCACCCAGGGCGGGAGATTTTTTCAATGTATCTGGATGCCTTTGGTGATCAGTCAAATGTGTCTGATAAAGGTGAGTGGTTATTTTGTAATTCTTTTTCAGTTGAACCTTATTTAATAGGTTCTGATTGATTAAATAGCCAATGAGAAAGGAAAATGGCATTTTTGTTCCTCCTGTTCTGGGACTGGCTATTTGCCCGAAAGTACAGTGAATGCCGTTGTGGAAGGATTGGGGTTTTCCCTCGGGGCTTGAACAGAGCTATAAGGACCATGTGTTTCTCAGTGTCAGGTGCCCCCTTCCCTAGAAAGCTCATTAAACAAAGTCCCTCAATGAAGGGCACCAGATGAATGAGCAGGGAAGACTGGGTTCTTTAGTATGAGTACGTGGTGTGGACTGATTTGTCCATTCAGTTCCTAAAAATAGTAGGTAGCCCTCAGTTATGCAGTCATCTTAGCCCGGCAGAGCAGCCAGAGTCCAGGAAAAGGGGAAGCCAAGACTTGAAGAGAATAGAAATGGCTCCAAGGAAGGACACAGTTATGGAAAGATAACCTCCCTCAGACTTCTCAGGGAGGGACTGGTGGGGCTGGTGAGTGGAGCTTTGTTCCTCTTCAGCTGCAGCGTCTCTGGCTTTATTTATCTTTGGGTTCTTCATTTGTAGAAATGATCCTTACTGCTTAAAAAGAGGGTAAAAACCAATTCAAAGGATTGTCTCTGATGAGAATCTTGAAGCCCGCAGAGACGCCCAAGGTCACATAGCTATTGTGGCAGGACCCATGATAAAATTATGGTTTCCTTTTCCCGAACAAGAATGCTAGACCTTGATGAGTCCCAGTAAATTACAAAGTGGACTAGGGAGAGTCCTTTAAAAATTAGGTTATGGCCTAGCGTGTCATTACAATTGACTGGATTGATTCTGAGATAACAAGAACATACTTACTGTGGTGATTATGAAGACCAGAAACTGCACTGTCTTTTTACAACAATGGTTTTAGCACCCTCAGCTTTTAGTTACATGTGTATTTTACCACCATGGGTTACTTCATCCCCGGACCATGGTGGATAACTGATGCCTTACTGCTGACCACACTCCTCATCTTTTTTTTGTGTATGATTTGGATGTAAATTTACAAAGCAGATTTATTATACTCTCAACAGTTCAAGACACTTGATTTCACAGCCCCTGTTACCATCCCCAACTATAAAAAACTCTCCTCCTCTCCCCTCCCTGTGACTACGCCCTCCCTGTGCCCTTCTTATCTATGCATTCCTTTCTGTCCAGCTTTCCTTCTACATGAATGCTGCCCCTCTGATGTCTCATGGCTGATTGATCTAAGGGGTGCATCTCCCTACGGTAGGCAGGTGCATCTCCCTGGGGTAGGTGTTCTGCTTGTAGGTCTTTCTGATGTTGGGCTGAGAGCTAGTCCACAGAAGTGACTACATTTCCAGGTGCAAAGGATACACCGGGGCCACAGTCTTGGGAGTTCCACCAGTTTTTATCTGACCAGTAGCTCTGGTCATTTTTGTGTTTTTGAATTTTGTGCCACATTTTTCCTCCCACTCTATCCAGGATCTCCAATTGTGATCCCTTTCCAAGTGATTAGCATTGGTAGCTGGGGACCATCTAGTTCTTCTGGTCTCAGGGTTGTGAAGGCTGAGGTTCTCATGGTCCATCATATCTTTGGACTAATTGTTTCCAAATGACTTTGATATTCTTCACTCTTCTTTGCTCCAGACAAGAAGAGACCAGTAGTTGCTTCTTAGATGGCCGCTCAATAGCTTTTAAGACCCCAGTCGCTACTCACCAAAGTAGGATGTAGAACAGGATTTTTATGTACTGTGTTATGCCAAATGAGCATGATGTCCTCCCCACCCTCTTCACCTTCATGCCTTAGAGACAAAAGAGAATCTTAAATTAGAGTGCTTTAAATTGAAAAGCGTTAACTGGGTGGCCCTAACCCAAAGCAGACTCATCCAGAGATTTTAACTGAGGTGACAAAATAAATTAACATTATATTTAGATTGTTTTATGCTTCTCCTGTAAAGACTGATTTCCCACTTTATATTATGTATATTTGTGAAATGTTTCAGAACGATTGACTAATTGAATTCAGCAGAAAATGTGACATTTTTCTTCTCCGACATGTATGGCAGTGCTATCCTCTCTCATCAGATAGGTAGAAAAGTAGATTATCTTCTGTAGCCAGATTTTTTTACCTTTTAGGGAAAAAAACACAAAACTGAGCAATTTTAACCTATGATTGGTGATCATCAGAAATCCAGGGGCTAACGTTGATCACATCAGTAGTCTTCTTAGTGGATCTGCATGTCTTGCAGTGGAAGTCTGAGTTCTCTGCTCCCTGTTGGCATTGTAAATGTCACATTGTCAGCTATCCTTTCCCTAAAGTGTCTCGTAGCTCCTTTCTGGCTGTGCCCATGTGGCGATGTTGCTGCTGTCTCTTGCCTTTTGTCCAGATGGGCCTGAAAATTCACAGTGTAACCACCATCACTCTGTGCTAGGAGTGCCTGTGGTCAGTGTCCCTGGAGAGGGCTCAGGCTGCCTTGCCATTTGCTGTTACATATGATCTACATGTGTGTGCAAAACCTGCAAAGTTCCTTGTGTGACTCCTTTGGCTGATTGAAATCTTATAGCCATATATAGTCGAACTTTTCCTACAAGTCTCTCGTTTGCAACTTAACTGCATAGGTAAATAGCTTTTCACCTTGGCCTTATTCTCTTTCTTTACTGTCATATCTTTTGATAATGTGCTGTCAAGGTCACAAGATTTGTGGCTACTAATCACTGTCATTATTCTTCCCTACTTAGCTATACAGTAAAGGAGAATTTTGATACATAAATGAATGGAAGAGATAATTGAGTTTTATTCTCACACAGGTCCTGTCCCCGCTATCAGTGGGGCACTGAAGAAAACAGGGTTGAGTCTTAAGGATATGGATTTGGTAGAAGTAAGTGTTCTTTTTCTTATAACATGAATAAAACACCTACTTAATAACATAAATCAATTTAAGTATTTTCTAGTTCTTTTTACTTTAGTCCTGTTAACTTTTCCAAATGAAGTATATCTAAATATTACCTTCATTACGTGCCTTGTGTTGGTACATTTCCCCCACCTGATGAAAGTGCTTTACTTGTATATAAATAATTCTAACAGCTTTGTTTCTTTACTAAATGATAAATTCCTGGGATGCAGGAAACATAGGCCCTCTTCCTCAGAACCTTACAGGACTCTATTACATTTTAGGTTCTAAATATACCTGTTGAGTTGAATTGAGTGTTATATATAGTGGTGAGAAGTAACTTTAACCCAATTTTAGAGCTTAAAATAAGAGAATGTAGGTTAAAACAAAACTGATCTGATAGAAAAGTAACGTCTAGTGCCAAATCTAGATGTTTTCTCCCCCCCTCCCCCAAATCGAGGGCCTCCTAAAACTTATGTGTGGCTTTTACAACATCGTTGTGGCTTGATTTGAGATGTACATATCATAGTTTTTTACATTGGAACTTAAATTTATTGGTAGTGATTTAAAAAAATGTTACTGTTAGAACAAGTACCTCTTAGGTGTACAGCATAATTAGAGAAAAAAAACTTAAGATGGATTGTATGCATTCCACATTTGGGGAATAGTTAAAAGATTTTAGGTAATTAAGCACATTAATTTCTTAATTGATTGGCATTAGAAAATAACTAATAGAACAAATTATTTACATTTATTTAGAATTCTTTATTAAAATTGTTTAAATTTAAATAGATTTCAGATGTGAAAATGGATATATTTACTAAATGACACTCTCAATCAAATGCATCTCGTAGAGAAAATAAATTTTCAATAGCGCTAACCAGAAGGCTGGCAGTTCAAACTCACCTACCACTCCCCTGGACGGAAGTCTACTTCCATAGAGATGTTGTGTGTTATGTGCCATTGAGTTGGACCCAACTCATAGCGACCCCTCTTTGGGTTTCCGAGGCAGTATCACTACAGACGTAGATTGCCTCATCTTCCTTCCGAGGAATGGCTGGTGGGTTTGCACCGCCAGCCTTCCAGTTAGCAGTCAAGTGCCTTAGGCACTACGCTACCAGGGCTCCCTCCATAGAGATACTGCCTCGGAAACCCAGGGAGGGGTGGTTATGAGTTGCCTAGACTCAACAGCAGTGAGTTTGGTTTTTATGCTGAGGTACATACTAGAGGCAGTGGGATAGTGTGGAAAATCCACAGGGTTTGTAAATGGATGGTATATTTATTTATTAAATCTATTTAAAATGATAGGGAGGGGCTTCTTCACCCCAGGCACATGTGTCGTTTTCTGTGTGATAATCCAGCAAACAAAGTCAGGCCACTGGTTTCAGACAAGTGGGTTATCCTAAATCTCTTCTTCCATTCACAGTCCAGAGACTCATAAACCAAAACCAAACTCACTGCCATCCAGTCGATTTCGACTCATGGAGACCCTATAGGGCAGAGTAGAACTGCCCCTTAGGGTTTCCAAGGCTGTAAATCTTTATGGACACAGACTGCCTCCTCTTTCTCCCATGGAGTGACTGGTGGGTTCAAACCACCAACCTTTTGGTTAGCAGTTGCTTCATTACCACATTGATGTCAGCAAGTGGGTACCACTAAATGTCCAACTGTAGACTTCTTCCCACTTAAAACTCATTATTGAAATGCATCAGTTCTACAGAGCTATTGCTAGTCACTTATACATGTGTAAATCTCAAGGACACAGGTCTCCACGTCCTGGTGTTGTCTTTGGGACATTTGGTGAGCGTGCAGTAGTGGGGTCCTAGATTCAGAAGCCTAGTTTCACAGCATTTTCTAGGTCTCTTAGCACCTCATTGAGCATGTATTTCTACAATAGAAATATATTGGATCAAAGGACAAATAAGGCACCATCTTAGGAAAGCACAGAACATAGTAGGAAAGAGCATAATACTGGGAGTCAACCTGAGTTTTGATCCCAGCTCTGTAAGAGTTGTCTTTCTCAGATGCTCTTAAGTTTTCTTACTTATAAAATTCCTCAGCTAAGATCGTATGAAAAGGTGGTACTATAAATTAAAGTATGAAAAATCTAAAGGAAAGGGAATTATCTTAGCCAGCCTTGGTCCATCTGATGCGAAGCTGTGGTACTTTTCCGTTCTGCCACATTTCAACATGGTAGCTATGTCCTTTATGTATCTGAGTCTGAAGGTTTAGTCTTTGTTGTCTGTCAGTTTCTTCTTGGAAGCATGGCTGGTAGTAATGGGTAATAATAACAGCAGCTACCATTTATTGCACACTTGCTATCTGAAGATAATACACGAGACCTGAGTGTCAGAGAGTTTAAATGGCATGCACAAGGTCACACCCAGCTAAAAATGATACAGCCGAGATTTGAACCATCCGACTACAAACCCTATGGATTTTCTACACTTATCCCACTGCCTCTAGTATGTATCCCATTATAGACTATTGAGAATCTTTTCTCTAAGAGATGCACTTGACTGAGAGTGTCATTTAGTAAATACATCCATGTTCAAACCTGATACCTTTACAAAGAGTGATAGAAGATAACATAAATTTGCAAGGTAATTTAAGTAGGAAGAAACCACAAAATTAATATTAAAACTAGCTACCAATAGCCTCGACAATTCTTGGTTAACAATCTGTTTGTAAATAAGGATTTTTATCAGTGTTTTTATTTTTATTTTTTAAGGTGAATGAAGCTTTTGCTCCTCAGTACTTGGCAGTTGAAAAGAGTTTGGATCTTGACCCAGGAAAAACCAATGTGGATGGAGGAGCCATTGCTCTGGGTCACCCACTGGGAGGATCTGGATCAAGAATTATCACACACCTGGTTCATGAATTAAGGTCCTTGCTAGAAATTGCTGCATTTCAGATTTGCTGTCACTTATAGGAACGTATAAGTTTTCCCAGAACAACCTATCTTTTTACATTCTTCCTCGTATCTCCCTGCACTGGTTCTTACCAGGAGCGGTTATCTGGGTACCACTTTTCAGCTGTTCTCAGGTGATTAGTGGCTCTGCATCTGAGCCCCGTGCTGTTCTTCAGGTCTGCTCTGTGCACGATCCAGCCACTCAGCATCTGGTCACTGAGTAGATAATGGGGCCCAGGTATCATGGCGCTTGCATTCTAGTGCCAGTTTCAACCATAAGATAAGTTTGCTTATTCTTTTTTTTTAAAGATAAATTCATTTAAGAAAACAAAATACTGAGAGGGTACCTTGATGCTGCCATTTAAGGAACAGACAGACTTAACTTAGCATTTGGGTCAGAGTTAAGTTTTTCTTTTCACTGTTTCCAGGCTTCTAGGCGGAGCCTTCTGTGTTTGATACTTTTCAGTCCAATGGAAGAGCTCCCCTCTGGTTCTGTGTATTTTCAACCGTTTTGGTCTGTTTTAAGGCAAATTGTAAACAAAAACAAGTGAGTCAGATTGAAAACTTACTCTGGCTCCCTGTTGGGTTAAGGTAAACTGAGCTCTTACTCATTTAATGATTTATAGAGTTGAAAGAAATAATTGACGTGTAAAAATAATCCCTGGGTAGTTTTCTCCAGGTCATTCTCTCAGAACCAAGGAAGGAGAACAGATGGTACTGAAAGAGTCATTGTACCAAAGGGACAAGGAGTGTTTCTGAATGATCTGCCCCTTCACATGTGCGTTTATGCCGAGGTGCACCGTCCAAATAAAGGGCTGAAGGCCATCACCTATCTATCACTCTAAATAGCCTCCTACCCTCTTTCTCAAGGAGCTCTGCTGGTGAAGTGCCCAAGGCATTTGACTGCTAACCAGAAGGTTGGCAGTGCAAACCCACGAGCTGCTCCACAGAAGTAAGATATGGCAATCTACTTCCGAAAGATTTACCACCTTGGAAACCCAATAGAGGTCGCTATGAGTTGGAATCGACTTGATGGCATTTTGTTTTTTTTTCTTTATCTTCTTTTTGACCCACATCACACCTTTGCTTATAATGTTGTTTCCATTTCTCCAACCCTAAATCCCCTCCCTAGCTTGCCTCCTTCCTTCCATTACTCCTTTTTTTTTGTTGTCAGCAACAAATCCAGCTTTCCAAATTGTTTCTTCTTCTGTGACTACATGCCACTATTGAGAATTATTTAAAAAAAAAAAAATCGAGTCAGTTCTGAATCATATAGCGACCCCCATAGGGTTTCCAAGGCAGTAAATCATTATGGAAGTAGATTGCCTCATCTTCCCTCCACTGAGTGGGTGGTGGGTTTGAACTGCCAACCCTCTGTATAGCAGTCAAATGCCTTAGGCACTGCACCACCAGAGCTCCTTACTATTGAAGATGGGGGGAGGAGATTGAGAAGCTGTGGCAATAAGTAACACAAATGTGATTGTTATTCGTTCTTTATATTTTAAGCTCTGTTTATCCTCTCATTTGAGTAAGTTTCACCCACTGCTTTCTTTCTTAGGCGTCGAGGTGGGAAATACGCAGTTGGATCTGCTTGCATTGGAGGTGGCCAAGGCATTGCTGTCATTATCCAGAACACAGCCTGAGAGGGAGGAGGAGTAACTGTGGCCCACTCTGACTCCCTGGCCTGGCCACAGTGAAACAGGTGCCCCTCAGAGCAGCTGGGGCAAGTGGCCATGCCTTGCCACTGTAACAGCGACTGTCTGACCAAAGGGGTGAGACAAGATATGTTTGCCAGGAATAAGAGCCCATGACACCAGGGTAAAAATAAGTCTTCTCCAACTTGGTCAAATATGACATATTTCTGACTCAAATTCCAACAGTAGGCCTTAAACTCTATCCTTGCCAAATAACCACATTTATGCCTTAGGTAGTACGAGCACAAGGAAACCAAATAAATGCAGCCCTAACTTCAGCTAATCCACTCCTGTCATTTGTTGTACTTTTTAAAACATATTTTGAAAACCAGTGTATATGTGTTGGGTGGTGCTCATACTTCATCCTGAGATAAATGTCCAAGGAGCAAACTATAGAACCTGATCGTGCTGTTTACAAATGTTGTCATACTGGATTGTTTTTCCCTTGAATAAGGACAGTTCTAATTATGTGTTTTAACTCTTCAGATAGACTTGAATGGGAACATAGCTTCCTTAAGGAAGATACCTGTTCATTTTAAGTGGAAACCTGGGGGCTGGTGAAAGGCTGGGAAGCCAAGGCTGTGCCTGATTTCATCCCCCTTCTTCAGCTTCCCCTGCTTATCTGAATTCCCACGCTCCTTCCCCAGGGCACATCTCTAACCCAGTGGTTCTCACCTGGGGCATTTTTGTCCCTTCAATATCTGGAGACATGTTTGGTTGTCAGAATAGGGGGATGGCTTGCTGCTCACAGCATCTAGTGGGTAGAGACCATTCTACAATGCACAGGACTGCCCCCATGACAGCTATCTGGTTAGAGAGCATTCTGCAAGGCACAGGACCACCTCCACGACAAATTACTGCCAACAGTGTTTCTCTGGAGAAATCCTGCCCGACCTCTAGATCCACTTCTCGGGTCACTCCCTTCTTTTTGTGTTTGTATGTATATGTATGTTTATATATATATATATATATATATGTGTGTGTGTGTGTGTGTGTGTATGTGTGTGTGTGTGTATATATATACATATATATATATATGAGCTCTGGTAGCAGAGTGCCTAAGGCACTTGACTGCTAACCAGAAGGCTGGCAGTTCAAACCCACCAGCCACTCCTCGGAAGGAAGGTTGGGCAATCCTACTTCCGTAGTGATACTGCCTCGGAAACCCAAGGAGGGGTCGCTATGAGTCGGGATCGACTCGACGGCACATAACAACAACAACATATATATATATACACACACACACACACACACAGTCTACTTTCCAGATTCTGCTGTGACTATAAACCAGTACTGAGGATGAGAGGAAAGGTTGGGAAGGTGAGGTCAGCTGGAATAAGTAATACCTAGATGACAGTTACTAATTCTTTACAGTATAAGCACCTTGTAAGCACCAGGATTGCCCGCATCTCTCTTGCACCTCATGAATGAACCTTTCTTCTCTCAGGCCACGTGTGTGGCTCTAGCCTTGCTCCACTGTGCTGCTGCCAGGCCCACCCTCCTCCTACCTCCTACCTGTTACGGAACACCTTGTTATTTGCAGGTTCATGCCAATCAGATATGCCATCCTGTCACAGTCCTTATTTCCATCGACTGGCTTCCTATTGTTCTTTCCACCAGTGACTCTATTATTTCTGCATCGGTCAGCTTTTTTAAAAAAACATTGAATCATGTCTTAATTCTTGGAAAATTTAGCGTCCAATTGGTCAGGGACCTCTCAGTTCCTTGCTGACTGTTCCTCAGTCAACACCAATGATTTTTTCTTTACCTCCTACCAGGGACCCACTCTCTCAGTCACATCTTGAACTTAGTATCACTAGAAACAGCATCACCTTTGAGTCTTAAATACAAATACCTGATAACAACCTCCAGTCCTTCCAGCTTACCTGCCACAGTCCTTAACCTCATCAAGACATCCATCCTTGGACCTCACTGACTTTTAACCATAAACCTTACTTCCTTTCTTTTCCAACTTAGAGTCCGGTTTCATCCTTTCATTTTTGCCCCTCTACTTACATTCATACGTTGGTCTGTACTAAGGCTGAATATGTAGTAGGGCAAGTTCCTCTCCTTGTTCTTCTATTACTGTTTTTATGACCTTCATGAAAAATCCATTAGGGATTTTAATTGAGATTAAATTGAATTTATGGGTTATAGATTTATTAGGGAAAATTGGTATCTTTATGGTGGTGAATCTTCTTATCTATAAATACAGTTCATCTTGTAATTTACTCAGTTCTAAATTTTATGCCCTTATTTTAGAAATTTCTTGATAAAATATCAGGGAGATGTCCTTTTCCTTGCCAAGCCCTAATTCATTCATTGGTTCCCTTTTTCAAAGCAATAAACAAAGGATTCACAACTTTTATTTTATTTATTTTAAGAGCTTGTTTTACATTCAACGTTATGTGTACATTTAGTTTCACTCCCCATTTACCATGCCCAACCCTAACCCAGTCTCCTCCCCTCCCTGCCCAGTAACCCTCCCCCTGTGCCCGTCATATTTATGCACTCCTGTTGTCTGCATTACCTCCATGGGAATGTTGCCCCTCCAGTGCCCCGTGGTCTATTGCTCCATAGAGTATGTGGGTGCATCACCCTGGGTTGAGTGGTATGCCTGTATATTTATCTTGTTAATTATTCGGCTGAGAGCCAGCCCCTGGGAGTGAGTTTTATTCCAGGTGCAGAATGTATTCTAGGGCCATAGTATTGGGGGTCTCACCAGACTCCATCCGACCAGTAATTCTGGTCATTGTAGAGTTTTTGGATTTTGTTCCATGTTTTTCCTCCCACTCTATCCAGGATATTCAGATTTGATCCTTTCCTGAGTGCTTAGCATTGACAGCTGGGCACCATCTAGTTCTTCTGGTCTCGAGGGCCATCTTGTCCTAGGGCTGATTGCTTCCAAATGCCCTTGTTTTTTGCACTTTCCTTCACTTCTGACACTAGGAGACCATTAGGTGCATCTTAGATGGCCACTTGAAAGCTTTTAAGGCCCCAGTCACTACTCACCAATGTAGGATGAAGAACCAGGCTTTTATGTATTTTGTTGTGGCAATTGAGTCTGGTGTCCTCCAGTACTGTGGTCCTGAGACAGTAGATCTGTTGGATCTCTCTCCCATAGTGTCTGGGTATCGGTGAGGGATTG